TGGACAGGACTGAGGGGGTTAGGTTGTGTTGAGAGGAGTAGGAGGAAGGGGTGTAGGGGAATATTAGTAGAGGGGTATGAATATCGGCAACCACTTCAAGTGTGGAAGGAGCATGAGTTATGGGATCTTGTGTCTTAAGCATATAACTTTGGATGTCATCCATTGTTTCTGCAGTGGAATTGGTTGGAGAGTTTGGTGAGAAGGTAATTGTTTTTGTAGTTGAATTGGTTGGGGTGTTTTGTGGGATAAAGGTTTTCTTATGAGGGGGGGAAGAGAAAACTGGTGTCTCAGGAATAAAGGTAAAGGTAGGTGGAGGTGATTGTGCTGTGGGGGAAGGGTAAGAACGTTTAGTCTGTCTACTGCGGGTAGTGCGGGAGGAGAGGGGGTGGTGTTGGGGCTGTAGTTGAGATAGGAGCTGTGGTTGAGATTGAGGTGTCTGGGTTTGGAGTGGTAAAAGAATTGGTCTGAGGGGGCTAGAATGTAGTAGTGGTTGGGGCTGTAGTTGAGATTGGAGCTGTGGTTGAGATTGGGGTGTCTGGGTTTAGAGTAGCAAAGGAATTGGTCTGAGGGAGGTAGAATGTAGAAGTGGAAATGGGGACTTCTAGGGGTGGAAGAGGAAGGGCTGAGCGAACGATGTTACTATAGAGTATGAAGTATGGGAGAAACCTTGTCGACGTGCTTCCTGTCTGGCTTCATGTAAAGTGAGACCATTTTTGTATCTGAGAGTTGCTCCCTCAGATTCAAACTTGTAAGTGGGACAGCCTCTAATAAAATACATTATGGGGGCCACCGCAGTTAGCACATGTTCGTGTTTGTGCTGAGCAGTTTGATTGATTATGACCAGGTTGGGCACATATGGGGCATCGGTCTGTGGAACAGCAATGTTTGGTAGGATGTCCAAAGCGCCAACAGTTTTGACATTGATGGGGAGGGGGTTGGTATGGTCGAACAGGGAGGTATTGTCCACCGATGTAGATACGTAAGGGAAGGTCATGTGTACAGAAGGTAATTTTGGCAATGTTGGTCGGATTCTTTCGTTGACCTTAAGGAGAATGGTGTAGCAATGTACTGATTTCACATCTTGGTCTTTGAGGCATCCTAATAAGTCTTCTCCACAGTCTGACCAATCTTTGGTATCGACTGGGCAATTTGCTGGGGAGAGAGACAGTTCAGGTACAGGTATTAAGGGTTGGATGAGGTTCTGCAGGAATGGGGTTGCCAGAATCAGTTAAATTTGATAGTGCTATAGATTCATTTCTGATCTGACTGTTACAAGACGGGAGCAATCGCGTCTGGTATAGAAGGGGACTCTACCTACTTATTTTTGGAGGCGTTGTTGAAAGAGAAGAGTGTTGCCCGAGTAAGGAGCTGTAGAAGGGATCACGAAAAATCGGTCGCATTTAGCTGGGCTAAACAGAGTATTTAAGATATCTGTAGGGTTGGTGGTGGTGGATGGTCGGGGACGTGTGGAAGAGGGAGTATTACAGAATGATGGAGAATAAGGCTGCTAGGTAGTAATACGGGAGGATTGGTTGTTTGATGAAAGTTGCGGAGGTAGAGTTGATGAATTTGAGGAAGTTAGGTGGGTAGGAATGCCTGTCTTCTGGAGATTGATTCTCTGCTTGGATGGGTAATGCAGTAGTAGGCATTGAGGAGTGGGTAGTAGTTTCAGTGTTCGGAGCCGTGGTCAAAGGAGAGCCTGGGTTGGGGCTGTTTGATAAAGGGGCTAGCCTCATTGCCTCTAATAAAGGGATTACATTTTCATTACTGGTCATGGGCAACCTGTATTATATAAAAGACATTAACTGGTCCACCTCCATCGCTAGTGAAAGGTAAGGGCTAGATTAGTCGGGAGTACCGTGCCCATAGTTCCCACAGGCCGACTGGCACAAAGTCAGCCTTTCATCCTCTCAGCACGGCTTTCACACCTTAGGAAGTAGATAGTAGAAGGGGATGGAGAAGGGATGAAAACAAAAGCTTGAGGGGAAAAATACCATGCAAAATTAGTTGAGTCGAGGGCTGAGGCCCTAGGCAGGGGAGATCCCTGCATTGGGTCTCAGTCTCCGTCTCCTAAGCCCCCCACGACAACAACGGGCAAGGGATTGGGGGGGGTATTAAATGATTAGAAACCACTCAAAATGAACTACTTGGTAAAATTGTTCATAAGCTACATAGTACCAACAAATCAAAAAAGCTGATTCGGGTACCAGGCTACACTGGTATCCATGGCAATAAGTTGGCTGACAGCTTAGCAGGGTCAACTGGGACAGCATATTGCGCACTAAAAGTAAAAATTGATCTCTTGTGGCAAAGTGAGTGGACCAACTTGTAACTGACAAAGTGAAACTAAAAATTGAACTGTGGGGCACAGCCCACAGAAAAGAAAAGGGAAGAGGTGGTTTTGGCCCGCCTTAAGGTCAGTGAAACAAGACTGACTCACCTTACTCCCTATAAAGAAAAGACTTTCCCTCCACAGTGCCCATATTGCAATATTAGTATT